AAAATTTAAAATTGTTTTTAAAAAAAAAGCAAACTAATTTTCTTACCCTACATCATTCCACGGAAATCTAATCAAATCTTGTGCTAGTTTTGATATACTAGACGCCACTGGTTTGATGTCTCTAACGACTGGGTTAGTCAATAAAGTATCATATGCAATAAGAAATATGGTTGGCAATAATCTATATATATATTTTATAAAATTATATTAGGAAAATAATTAAGAAAATAAAAAATTTGGAATACCATGATAAATTTATCTTAACTGTATAAATAATTCATGAATCTGTAAATGTTCTAAATAATGTAACGCCTATGAAAATAAATAACAATAACAACAATAATGAGAAAGAAAATTCTGACAATAATTCAGGGTCCTTTTGCAAATTAAAGTTCCAAGTTACCTTTTCTGCTTCTCCGTTATATTTGAAAATAGGTTTTTGACGTTTTACTGGAACTCTTTTTGCAGACTAAAGTTGCAAAAATAAGATAATATTAATGTTTGCAAGAATCAAAACATTAAACAAGTCTTTTTTTAATAAACATATTTACCATCCAAAGTTCCTGCCAAAGATTTCCTTCTGCCATCATCCTTGGGCTAAGTTTTCCTTTATTAGGGTCGCCACTATCATCTGGGATCCAGTCCTTTGGTGAATGCCATCTAATAAAATCTTCCAAGATAGCATGTGGATTTGCAGCCTTGAAAGCTTGCATGTCTTTAAAAACACCATTTAAATTAAAATAGGTCAAATAACGATTGAAATAATGAACTTCCAAGTAATTACCTGATTTTAGATGAGCTGATTGCAATTTTGCGCGTTCTGATGTTTCCAATTTTTCAAGTAATTGTTCCTGTTCATACAACATATCCTCAGTCATGAATCCAAGATCCTATAAATCGTAATGCAATTATTATTAAAAGATTTAATTATAATTTAAAGACTAATAAATTAATGTACCTGTGTTCCTGGAACCCACATTTGTTCGCCTGTTTTTAATAAGGTAATACCATTGTGTGTATGAATATGGCCTTCTCTTTCATTTTCATCTTTTACTTCCTCTTCCGTACCATATTGAATACTATTATTATTTACTTTTACTGGATCTTTGCGAGCCTTTTTGCCAGAAGATTCATAACTTTGGTTGGAATCCATACTTGAGGAGTAATTGAGTTTAATATCAATAAATGATTCTGTTAAAGAGGAAGGACCATTGAGATTTGAATCGGATAATTCAGAAACTATTGATGTTGTAGGAGAATATGAATGAACATTTGAGAGAGAAGACGGTGAACGATGGTGATTTGAAATTGGTCTATTAATATGATGTGTTTTGCGGGTAGGAGGAATTTTCAAAGGTTTCGCGAGTGAATTTTCCAAATTGTCGCAAAAATCTAAATCATCTTCATTAGTAGGCGATGCTGCATTTTCTACACTTTGAGAGCGATTACGCTATTAAATAAATCAATCGAAAAAAAAAGAGATTAAATATGATGGATAAGTATATGTAAAAAATTTGTTGAATATATTTTAAAAGCTTACATCTAACCTTTTTTTCAGGATGATTAATATTTTTATTTATATTACGAACTTCTTCATTATTATTGTCAATATTACGGTTATTATTATTATTATTATTGTATTTTATTGTGTTGGGATCATTTATATTAAGTTCGTCCTCATCACCTGTTAGACGTTCAAAAAGACGTACTAATGGATCAGAAGATGTTAATTGTTTAGGATCAGAAACAGAAGATTTGTTGGAGTATTTCGTAATGGAATTAGGAGAAATTGATGTAAATGAATTATTTGTTGGTGATGAATTACTATTATTATTGTTAATATTGTTTGATTGTCGAATGCGGGAAATACAGCAATTAATCATATTCAATTTTTGATGTATTATATTGTAACGCATATCAATACCAATAGATTTTTTGTTAGCGTTTTCAATTGAAATCCCATAATTGCCATTGCTATTACCATTACTACTATTATCATTGTCAGCACTCTTGCTATTATGTAAATTTGATTTATTCTGACTGGATGAATCAATATCAAATTCAGATAAATTGTAAATATTGACATCAGGAATCAATTCAAATCTCTCCCAGTTCGAACGAATATTTTTCAATACTTCGGTCCATAAAATTTTCAAAAATCCCAAAAAAGAACAATAACGAGAATTAGATACGGGTGAAATAGTTTCCAATAAACATTCAAGAAGATTCCATAGAAAAGATTTATATGGAACAGTTCTGACATGTTGAAAATTAAGACCCAACGAAGCAGTAGAAAGTAATTGAATACCATATTTAGTGTTTATTTTTCCTGTTTTATTATTGTTAAAGTTGTTGTTGTTATAAGCAAAAAATTTATTTCTTAATGGATTAAATAATTCTTGCAATATGTTGTCTATATCTACAGCATCCATATCAACAATTCCTCCTGAATTATACTTTTTAATATTATAAGAGTCTAAATCATAATTGTTAAAAGACCCAGGTAACTCATAAATTTGATTTTGTTTTTCCCCTTTGTGAAAAAATTTTGTTCCATACAAATTTCCTTTATCAAGATCCACACACAAAGAACTTGCAAACTCGCACA